GTGTGAATTGACATTAGTTAATGACATTTTCTTCTGTGTTGCTCTTATTATGAAAAGTTAACAATATCTAGATTACATGAACTGTTCAAATTCCAGTGAAAACTTCCCAGTTTACTGATGATGAAAATTGTAATGCTTCTAAGTTACATTAGTTTCTAAATCTTGGAACAAACATTAGGATGGTTTAAATTGTTTTGTTATTGATGCTGCTTTTTTTTGGACTTTTCCTTTTTCTGTTTTGGGCTGTTTAGGCTGACAATAATAAAATCAATCTATCAATCACTTCTCGACTGCACAGACACACACACACACATGCACACACACACACACATGCACATGATACATATAAACCTAGAATGTATTTATATAATCAAATCAATATGAGATATGCAACAAGAGTGACTTTTATAAAAGGAGAGGCGACGTCGAAGTCAGTGAGTGCAGCTTACCTTCTTTCTGGCTAACAGGAGGTCTTGGTAGATGTTGGATCGCAAAAAGCGTGCATAGCTATCACTTTTCATTAGCTTGAAAATGTGCTCCTGCAAGACAAAGAAAAAAAGTGATGAGACTGTAATGTGCTGCCAGTAAGACATCGCACGTCACACACCGATGGCCCACGTTGAAACCAGAGGAATCCACGGTGAACAACCTATTCATGCCATTACTCGCCTCATTAGGCCCTGGCACAAACACACTCTGTCATTCTTCTTTCTCTCCTCCCTCCTTTCTATTCCTCCATGCCCTCGCATTCATTCACTTGTGTAACGTGAGTGGGGTGGAAGGGTTCAGTGCTTCTGTGGGGCAAGTGGGTGAGAGAGGAAATGTGTGTGTGTGTGTGTTTGTGTGGGAATGAAGTGTTGGATAAACCCATCTGAACTTCTATAGGACCTTTTTACTTGCAAAATATCTTGTAAAAGTTCATCCAGAAATGAAAATTTAGTCATTACCTACTCACCACTATGCCAATGGAGGGGTGGGTGAAGTGCTGACTTGTCAATTACACCATGTTTTTAGTCTAAATGTCTTCAGATATTCCCCTCTGGAGCTGCGTTCATATATTTAGACTAAAAACATGGTGTAAATGACACTGTTTCGAGTCGAATTTGAATGCTGGAGCTTACAGACTCTTGGATGGCACCTCAGGAGCAGTATGGAGGCATTTTCTGTTTTTTTCTGTTGTTTTGTTACGTTTGAAAAATCAGTCAACATTGGCTTCAATTGTATTGGATTTGGCTGCAATGTTGTTTACCCCTGAACACTTCAAAAGTGCTTTGTGGACTCAATCACTTCACACACCCCTCCATCAGCATAGAGGTGAGTAGATAATGAGTGAATTTTCATTTTTGGGTGAACTATCCCTTTATGTCTGTATACACTCTATATGACTTCCTGTGTGGTACTAGAGGTTTTATCTTTGTACAGTTGCAGGTGTTATGACATCATATCTATTTCGGTTGTGAGAGCTGTGAAGAAAATGCCACAGTCCACCTGAGCGTCCTCGTAGCTGTATCGTCCGGGGTCTTTCAGGTTCTGGCTCGTGCGCTCATAGCTGTGAGAGTCCAGGTTGATGGAGCTCGGCGCCCCCTCAGCCAGGAACTCCTGCCAGATCTCCTGCGCCCTGGAGGGGACGTCCTGGAGCGGCCGTCGCTTCAGATCCTGCACTGCTAACCAGAACCTTCACAAAAGTGTCACATCCAGTCAGTATCAACGTCCCACAAACACAGATAAAGTAAATAAAAAAGCGGATATATTTTTGATTATGTATCATATTTGGTGGTGATGCCATTATCAACAGGTAATTAATATGTTGATTTGAAATGTTTTATTTGAATCTATTAGTTAGTGGAAGGATGTGGGTCAGTAGGGGAACCATTAAATTTTGGTGCGGACGGAGGAATCTTTGCTTTTCAATATTTCCATTGTTTTCTTAGAGAATAATTCATGGATCTTGATGAAAAGATCAGGCACATTTAGGAGACTGATATTTATGAGTTTAATGTGGTGCAGATCCAAATAAAATGTAGATCTAGTGAATCTAAATGTGGTTTCATAAGGGGACTGTTGGCTGAAGTATGAACTTGACTTAGTGCCATTCTGCTTTGGGGTTTGTTCAGCAAAATGTGACAAAATAGAACTCTGTTTAAATTTCTATCACTCTTGTGTTACTGCATCAAAAGTGAGCTCAACTAATGTAACACTGAGACATGAGGAGCTGCCTACAGAGATATTCACCCTCTTACTGCTCATCCTCAGATTTCAACCTCACATCAGAGTTAAATCACTTGAGAAAACTTCTCAGTAGTTCATACTCACAGCCTGTAAATTGACTTTGATGTTTAGAATCGGTGGAGTTTCCCTTCATGCTACAATTTCCCACATAGGGGGCCATCCCTAACTGTTAGGGGACAGAGAAAATGATGCATATGAAATGATGAAATGAGATGTGGACGACTGCCTCACCGCAGGTTCTCTGAGCTGAACTCTGACTCCAGGAACTTCAGGAACTGGTCTCGTCCCACCGGGTCCTTCAGGGCCTCCTCCAGAGAGAAGCCCCATCTCTTCACACGCTGCTGGCTGGGGTCACGACTGCTCACAATACAACATATTAGACAAGAAGAGTTCAAATTAGGTCAATATTTTCTCTCCAAATGTCAGAACTAAGTCAAACTCTCCCTTCGTTTGAGATGAGATGCAAACAAACAGATCCCAACAGTTCATCAGCACTGACACCTCTACTCTCCACCAGCATTATCAGCTCTCTGCCCTCATCCCAACACCACCACATCCTTACCTCGCCTCCAAGTCCCAGAAGCACGTGTCGTCACTGATCCAGGGGTTGGACGGCTCCGTGGCAGACACAAAGGGGTCGTAGTCCATGAACTGCTCCGTGTAGCTCATCAGACTGTCGGCCACTTTGGAAACCTTCATACAGTGTCGGTCCAGCTGCATGTTCAGGAAGGTGATCTGATGGAGAGCAGATGAGAGACTAATGAGAAGGATAAATAATCTAGCAGCTCATCGGTCTGCATCCCTGACTGCCATCATGATGGATGTGTGAGGCGGTGTCGCTGGTGGTGACCTAAGGAGAAGAGCGTCATCCAGAGTTACCTCTTTTTGGACGTCCTCTTTGGTGGGCTTCCTGGTCGGCTGGGAGCTGCTGTGGACGGGACTGGGCTGACTCTGGCCGTCATCTGGGACCCCATACACCGACTGGAGAGAGCGACGGCAGAGACATGCTTTGTTTTGATATGATTTTCATTTGCTACAACTCTATGCTGGTAATTTTCTGGTCTTGATAATTCAAAGCACTTTACAGTTCAGTTTATTCACATATTTACAGTGCAGCTATGTTAATCAATAGCAAACTGGCATGGGCAATTTGGAGTTCAGTATCTACACAGAATGGGGGAGACTGGGATCGAACAGCACACCTTCTGGTTACTTGACAGGTTACTTAGCTCTACTGACTAACTCCCCCAATCACAGAAAATTGAGAAATGAGTCAGGGAATTTTGGGTTCAAGAGGAGATTCGATTTTCAGATTTTACAATAGAACTAATTTCATTGTTTTCACATACATGCAGGTGTGGAGGTGTGGGAGGGAGGTTGAGTCATCCACTAACCAAAAGGTCAGTGGTTTGAATCCCAGCTCCTCAAGTCTGCAAGTGAAAGTATCCTTAAGCAAGACTGATCCTCAAAATGCCCCTTATGGCTGTGCAATGAGTGAGTAAATGGAAGTTTTGACTGATAGAAAACTTATTGAGTAAAGAAACAGCTGCATGAATATTGAAGAGGTCAATGTGAGCTGTAACTTATGTAAAGTGTTTTGAATGGTAGTAACAATGAGACTAGAGAAGTATAAATGCAGTCTATACCATTTACACACACACACACACACACACACACACACACTCATTGACATACTACTATTCCCCAGTCCCTTACCCTAACTGTAACAATCACAACTACGTTCCTGACCCCATCACCTACTCTAACCCTGACCTACACCTCATTAAAGCCTGAATCCAGCCTAGGTCCTCACTTTGTGGAGTGGACCTCATAAATATACAGAAAACACTAATGCAAAATTATATTCTTTTATATGTTTTGAAAATTTTGAACTTATAAAATAAACTCTTTTTTTATTTTTTATAAAAATATTTGTAAATTACTTTTGTGAATGAATCTAAGAGATTATACTACAGTGAAGTAAAATTCACTGAAGTCTATTATTTTACGTTGAGCATCAAAAATATGTTAATAATACTACTGCTAATAATATAATAATTGCTTCTCTGGGATAATAAAGGTAATCAATCAATCCACATATATCCATTCATCCATCCGACCATCCTCCCAATCACAATATTCAATAAGTATATTTTATAGAAAATACATTTCAGTTTTAAATATAGTTCTGTCAATTTAAATTAAAATATTTAGAAGGAATATATAGCAAAGAGATTTAACATCCCTTTTATATCATTTCTTCTTCAGTTTGATTTCTTGAAGCTCTAGCAACTCTAAACCTGAAACAGGTTTTTGGTAAAAAAATCAAAACTTTTTGCAAATATGACCTCAGCAGTTCTACAATCCTGGCCGCAGCTCTGTGTGGGACGATGGTGGGAAGAGCACACAGATAAAAGACAATAATATCGAGGTTGGAAAGCCACGCTCGCGGTTTCCTCTGCTCACCTTTTTCACCCTGTGTGGGTTCTTCTCTCTTCGACACTTGCGGATGTCCATCTCCGTGGTGTTGACGCAGCCGGGCTGTGGGAGGCAGCAGGAGACAGCTGAGTGTTTCTAGGTCAGATAACAGGGTTTCTCCAGCAGTGCATTGTCTGCGCCTGTCCTCCTCAAACAATACGACACTGTTCCTCCATTCAGCCATGCCACGCTCTTTAAAGGCTTGTATGCAAAGTGACTGGCACCAAATCTGATTCTGCCACCAGCGACAACAACAGGCCTCCCTGCTGGACAGTGTGATGAGCTGAATCTGCTTTTTTTCAGGCTTTAAATGCAAAAATTGTCAACCTACATATCAAACCCTTTTTTGTTTCCTTTTTTATTTGCAGCATCTGACCTTTTTTTCCTCTTCTCTTTTTTTTGTGACCCAACAAACTCACCACAGGCCGATGGACATCCCAGAATGCCCTCTCCTGGCTGTCCAGGATCTTCCTCTCGGCCTTGTCCTTCTTCCTGTCGATCCTGCAAAAACAGAGGACACAGGCCACACGATCACACCTCTGAAATATCAGGTCAAACATCACAAACTTAAAAAATCTGAATTTATGCACACACACTCTCTGACAGACACACAGACACAGACACACACTAAAACCACTGACAGGCCAGACTTGGGGGCGAAAAGCTGATGAGTGTGGGTCTTAACCTGTCTGCTCACTTCACCCGCCTTGCCTTGTGTTGCCTCTGGTCAGGCATCTCTTACATAACTGACATTTACCAACCAAACCTTTCTAGGTGGTGTATACTCCCCCTGAAGGAGTATTGCCCCCCCCCCCCCCCCCCCACGCATATAAAACAGCAGCCACTTGTCAATGTAATTTCTCTGAATGTTTTCTATAGACAGGAGAGGAACCTTCTTACATCACACTGTGACAGAGCTGTGCTTACACATGGCAGCCACCAGATGGAGGTATTACATGACACAGGAGTTAGGGAGAAACGTGTGTGTCTAATTCCATAATGTAATACTGTATTTAATGCTTGTATACCCCTCCAGTCACAACAGAGCATATAAAGAACGAGTCTGATGCCTGTGAGGCTGAGGGTTATTTCCTCTTCCTTGGGGAAAAAACATGAGCGTCATGCAGATGGTCAAAGGTGGTTGTTTCATATATTTGAATGTATAAACCTCCCCCCCCGTAACTTTGTCACATTAGTGTGACTCTGACGTCAACGCATGGCGTGTTGTGATTCACTTGTACAGTACACAACGTGACTCACTTCACTTGAGCCTCAGCTTGCATGAAGATGAATTCCCACTTCCTGGCAAAGGCCCTCTGCAGTCGGGCAAGGTTCTCCTGGAGGAACCAATCAGGGCAGAGAGACAGGTTATTTTAATTGAAGACCTTTAGATGATTTTTTGTTAGCCATTCCCTGTGAGGCTGTGTTGTGTCACACTATTGAATTAATCACTGTAATAGCATTTTGAAACCACATTTAAATTCACTAGATCCAGGTTTTTGATGGGATCCACACCAAATTGCACACACTCGTAAATATCAATGTTTTTTTGATCCTTGAATAATTGTTTGAGAAATTAAAGCAAATGTTGAAAAACCCCTATATACCTTGCAATTTTGAAAGAAATGCAAAACAATTCCTGGCTCAGCTCTGTGATCTGGATCCACACCAAAATGTAATAAGTTATACCCTGACCCACACCACATCCTTCCACCAAGTTTCGTCATAATCGTTTGGTAACCAGTAACTTTCTGGAGCCTTGACACTTGTCTTGGCTCTTTTACATGTGGACTGAAGCTTCATATTTAGCACATACAATATAAATGATCCTCCCTTATAATTCTGCAAGAGAATCAAACTGATTTCCTAAATTGCTTATTAATTCCTTTTAAAATATTATAAAATGGGCTCTATGATTTATGAATTTTTTTTTAAAAAATTGGATATTCTTAGCATAACTAAAACTCTACAGATTTAAATTTCACTACCCATCCATTATCTGTACCACTTATTTTTTTAAAGGTCATGGAGAGAACTGGAGCCAATCCCAGCTATCATTGGGTGAGAGGCGGGGGACATCATGAACAGGTCGTTAGCATATCAAATCTATAAAATTAAACCAAACACAATCTTCATGTCTTTGGACTGTTGGGGGAAGCAGAGTCCCTGAAGAATACCATCCATCCCAAACACAGGGAGAGCATGCAAACTCCACACAGAAAGACCCTTGGTGGTGTCAAACCAGGATTTGAAACAAGAACCTTCTCGCTGTGAGGTGAAGCCCTAATTCTCAGTAATATTCCCCAAAAAGTTATATCATTGAGTAAGAAATACAACATTTGTTTGATTCCAGCATTGTATTTTTAAATCATCTCTGATCTGAGACCACAGGGGATGATTCTTAACAAAGCTTCATTACAAACTCATGAGTTCACAGAGTGTACTCAGCACTGCGTGATGAATTTTGCTTTGCATAAAAAAACTCACACATCAAAGCTGCAAAATAAAATGTGTTTACACTCAGTAACAAACCTAAACGAGCATCTGTCGAAGATACAACACATGACCTCATTACGAACCGTGGAAAAAATACTGAGGACCAACTAACAGGCGTGGAACAGTAAGAGCAATGAGGCCTGGAGGCATAAAGTGACCTGAATACTGGAGAAAGGAAGTGTACTGGACAATAGTTGCAGAGTAATTTAGAATATTACAGTGCAGTGGATTTCTATTGTGTAACAAGCGATCAGCTCTGCAGCAACACCTCCCCTGAGACTGTATCGATCTGCTGATGCAAAGCAGGCTCACAGATACCTTTGTTTACATTTTGGAGCCAGTAAATGACCGTGTGTCATTCTGCCAAATGGTGCTCCTGAGAGAAAGAAGAGCGACCTTCATCAAGTCTGAGTAAAAGTCTGTAATGTGATAAAGGCTTTTTGCTCGGAGGAATGGATTTTGGCATTTCAAGGCCCCAGAGGACTGGGTATCAGCTCTTTTGTTCCTCAGGAAACAGGAAATTCATTGGGTCATCATATTATGGTGTGTTCACAATGGCAGCTTAGAACTGATTAGCTTACTGGCAATAAGCATAAACCAAAACATAGTGACTGTACTTACAGCCTCGTAGTCGGCCAGCTCGAGCCTGGCTTTATTCTGCATGGTGCGCTTGCACAGGTAAATGGCTGGAGGGAGGAGAGAGAGAAAGAGAGAGGGTGAGACATGAAGGGGACAATAGCGGTGGAGAGATCGATCATCTGCTTTGCACAAAACAAAAATAAGTGTCTCAGACGGCTGGTGCTCTTTATTTACTGAGGTCTCAGCTGTGTGAACCAACACTAATGACTGTTACACCGGAGCAGGCAGGCGTCGTGTCGTCTTCTGAAATAACAAGCCTCATGTAAATGTCATGCAGACGTGGCCATATCTGTGACCGTATCTGTTCAGTTTGGCTAATCTCATCCCATAGGACCCTCCTCAGGGGGGAGCAGATACAATACATTATAGTGAACGGCCCCCGTGGATCAATACTCAGGGAGTGTCAACAGCGGACCTACTGTGTGAGCTGTGTCTCAGCTCCGGAGGAAGACTGACAGCTGAAGGCATTAGCGGGATCTCACTGGTTGGGAAATGCAGACCAAAAAAAAAAAAAACCTGACAGACAAAAGTGTGACTCACCATAGTCTGTGTTCTCAGGCTCCCAACAGTTTGACGGCCAGAAGTATGGAGACTGATGAAAGCAGAAGGGGAGGACACAAACAGATTTGGTTGATTTGCTTGTATAATCAGAAATACTTCTGTGTCTTTACATACGGGTAAAACAATAATATTCTCCAGTATGGTTCTCCCTCCACCCTCACTCCTTCTGCACTTGTCTTCCACAGTCTAAAGACGACTCTTTGTTTGATAATGATTCTTGATGTCCATGTGCTGCACGTAACTATCTGGGGAGCAATGGTAGCTATATTCTCTCTATCCATATTTAATTGTCTATTGCAACTGATATCACACATTCAAAGTTCATTCCCGAGAACCATTAATAATGGATCACTCACATCTATCATGCATTCTTAATAACAGGGCCAGATTTAGAACTTGATGGAACCCAACCACATATATCATACCAACTATTACTCATAATGATAATTAGCCTATACGAACAAAAAGGCTGATGGTGACGGATGTGCTTGTTTAATGAACAGAAAGGTTAATATGCTCCAATTTAGCACCGTGCGTCTCAGAGAGGACGAGGTTCATCTGTTCTGCTCAAATCTGAGACATTTGTGACAAACAGCAGAAGACAGTTGTCATTAAATCTAGGTCCTCTACCAGTTTTCTGTCTATTTTTAGAGGAGCAAACAAAAACTCTGCTGTCACTCTGTCTCCCAGCACAGCGAATGGAGAGTAGCCAAATACGTTTCAAATGCTCCGTGGACTCGTTTTTTAGAGCTTCTGATGACGCGGGCTTGTTGCATCACTACAACATCAGAGGGAATATTTTTAGCCATCGCTGAATGAGCAAGTGTGACACACGCTGCCCTCCCTGCACAGGCACAACAATGGCTTTTAATCTCAAGCAATCGAGGTGAACACAAATACGTTCAGAGGTAGATGGAGGAGGAGAAGCAGGGGCAGCCTGGCGACAGGAAAAAGTGCAGAGCCAGCGCGCAGCCAGCTCAGCGCTTCCCATAGAGGAGCTCTGCCTACTGTAGCTGGCTGGATTAAGATGCTAATGGATCAGTCACAGCAATGAGTCATCACAGAGCCCATAGCCATCAGTAGGAACCTGTCAAAGTTCATGCTGGATCAGATGGAGTGAAGAAGAAATGAAAAAACACCCCTCTGGCAAGCTGCCGGTCCACAGGCCTTTCAGTGCGGCCCACCTCCTGCTGCGACGCTCCGTCCAGCAGAGATGTACAATATCGACCTTGGTGGGATGAGTAATAGGCTTAGTGGGGATTGTTCTCATTACCATCGTGCAACCAACATATCCCTCTGATAAACTGCCATCATCTCTCTATTCTATATTCAAAGACCTCAAGTTCAAGTTTACTTCCTCATCCAAAAGTATACGTCTGAGCCAAATGTTGTTTTTCACAGACAAAGTGCAGAAATAGTGCAACAAATCATGCAACATAGAAACATACAACATAAAGACAACAACAAGACTATGATGGTGAGTGTTGCACACGCTGGTGGTGGAGGTTCTGTGTGCACACCCAAATGTAAACACAGTCAAAATTAGCCAGGACTGGAAGAATCACTAATAAATACTGAAAAATATTAAAAAGAGCAAAAAGAGAAAAAACAGTGTCAATGTATATCCCCATATTATTACTGTACATAGCATTTTAATATATAACATATATATATAATCTTACAAAATGTAAGTCACAGAGAAAGAGAGAGACAGTGATTACAGAGGTAGCGAGAGAAGAAATAAAGGAGAAAATGAATTACGTAAAGTGAAGAGACTGTGAAACACACATTCAGTAAATGCATCTCCTCTGTTAAAATAACAAAAAAATAGATTTCTGACCCAGGGCCCCATAGAGGGCAACTTAATGTCAACTTAAAGTTGAATCTCACAAACTACATGTGAAATTTTAATTTCTTTACTCAAACTGCAGCTTTGATAACAACTGGCCAACATGTAAACAGTTAGAACTCAAATCTATCATCACTCTTTGTGGTGACAATATTTTATATTGCATGTTGACCTCACCTGCAGACAAAGAAGTACATGGGTGAGTGGAGGTTCTTGTTCTTTACTATGGCTGTGATAACCAGGATGTTCTCCAACAGGGAGATAATACCCAGGATCAGAAAGACCTGAGGAAGAAAAGACACAATGCGACAATAGTAATAGTAAACATTAGTAATAGTAAACATTAACAGAAGTGTAGCAGTAGTGGTTTTCAACCTGAGAGCTGGGGTCCCCATTGGGGTCACAATAAAAGAAAAGAAAAGAAAAAAATTAAGGGGAGAAAAGGAATAAAAAAATTACCAGTATGAAGATACAGGCCTCCTACTGTTAATTTGATGATTATTTAAATCAGTTTGGAGAAAGCTTGCCTAGACTACATTTTGTGCCATTTCTATTTCCTGTGTTTTAAATACCATGGTCAGGCTGTTAAAAAACTAAATGATGCCACTGCAGCTGCATAACAGTGAAAAACATATGAAGCAGATTAGTTTAATGCACAAAAAACTACGTCCACGCGGTTTGTGTGTTTTCCAGGCAGTGATGTATGTGTGTCGACAATATTTAAATCTACAAATCTCTGAAACAACTCAAAGTGTCGTCATACAGAGATTTAATAATGTGACCTCCCGTAATCATCATTTCATCTTCTAAAAGATGTTCATGGCCAAAGTAATGGGTTAATTAACTCATGTTTATTCATGCTGCGTTTGTAATTTGAATTTGTGAGCAGAAACAATGCAGCATTAATTAAAGTCTCAGACTCACATTAAACAAATATGGAAATTCACTGTGTATCTGACATCGTGTTTTGTCTCATAACAAGCACTTAGAGTAACTGATAATCTCACAGTGATGAAAGCAGATGTGTGTATCAGGGGAACTGATTTACACTGTCTACATCTTATATTCTATTATTTTCTTTCTTGCTCCCAGTGCACCGTGTTGTTATTACCATCTCAGGGTTCTAACATGTTAATTTAATTTCACATTTAGAGCAAATTAATTCATTTGCATGTTTCGTTTGTGCTGCTGTGCGAGTGCGAGCCAACTGCTCTGCAGTATTGTTGCATGAACGCTGTAATTACGGCTGCTTTTTGACATCCCCTCGGTGCTCGGCTCCCTGTATCGCAGAGATGAGAGGAGAAAGTGACACGTCGCCTCACATGTCCTCCTCAGGGAACACTTATCAAAACAATACACAGGCCATCATTCAAACGCAGCCCTGCACACTTTGCCACTTTGATGTCTCCCCGTCCTCTTGTTTTTTAAAATCCCCCCTCGCCTTTTCTCTCAATGTAATCCCACTGTAACTGCAGGGATTATTCACAATTCAGAACCATTTGTTCATTCAAATACAGCACTTCATCAACAAATAACAATATATGTTGAGAAAAACTATTCAATTGGAGGCTAACTCTAAATGGGTTCAAGTGCTGGCGCCGACATGCATCTCTGCCTCTGTGCTGCCAATCCCTGTAAAAAGTTAATGTAAGCAGGATTCACAGAGAGCTGCTGGTGATGAAATTATGGTGTAACTGATACCAATGTGCCATAGTAGAGGAGTGCATGGCCGCCTGCGTCTTTGAAGGAGGCTCTTCCCATCCCACGATGCTCTGCTGGAGAGGGCTCCTGTATGGTTGTACAGTACAAAAGGACAGATGGAGGGCAATACTGCACAAAAAGCAAGCAATCGTTTTGCCGCAATACAGAAAGAGCCTGCAAGTTAAGGAATTCATTGTAAATTCACTGTTGCACACAACGCTGAAATCTGTGGACTGTAAATATATACAGTAGCTGAAGTGGGGATTAATATCAAACAGAATATTTCATTTGTAGGCCAAGATCACTGAGGTTTCACTTTCTACACAAAATGCAAATATCAATATTTTATCTGTGTAAATTTGCAATTTAATTGAGTTGATAATGTTTCATGAATCTCAGGTTTTAAGGTGAGAATTGTCAGAGGAATGTCAAATATAAAAGCTGTTGTTGGTGTGTTCAAGTGNCGCCAAATATACAGAGTATAAATAAAGATCAGTAATAGCTGGAAGATGTCTTCACACAGATTATGGGAGTAATAATAAATAACAGGAGGCACAGTGGCAATAAGAGCTCGTTTAAATGAAAGTGCAGATATTTCCACTGAAACTTATGAAGGACTCTACGGGGCTGAGGTTTATTTACCTGAAAGCGATAAAGGGTTCCATCGTCCTTAAGTGTCAGGACGTGGTCTGAGATGGGGAAGATGTAACCATGTGCAGCGACCAGACTCCCGAGGTGGATGGCTTCAGCTGTTGACATGAGAGGTGGCACACAGACTTAAAATTGTCTGTCGCTTCATCTGAGAAGCTACTGTGCCCACATGCAATGACAGATTTCTCAGCAGCCATACCTGGATCCTCAACGGAGAGGTTTTTCATCAGCCACTGAACGATGTCCGCCCCTGTTGTTCAGAGAAGGACATTGGTTAGATTTTACGTCACACTCGCTCATCTGCAACAGACTCAACCAAAAGCTACGATCCCCAAACACAAGACAAGCTTTGGACAGGAAGTGTTTGTGCTTGGTCTCTGCTCAAAAGCTGAGGGGTCAGAGCTGTCAGAGCTGAGTAGGAGTCAACATAATGTTAACAGGTCTGCAGTTCCCACTCTCTCTGACACTGTCTTTGCTCCTGGACAGCACAATGTTTGGCCACGGCCTTTCATGGCGCTTAACAGAGGCTGCAGAGAGAGAGTGAGGCAGTTGGGCCTGGAGGAGCCGTGTAAAGGAGTGACTCAGAAACAGCCTCTGGGAGAGCAGGAGCAACTCCCTTATCCAACACTGGTGACTCATTTCATGCACAAGCACACACATGCACACAGACACACACACAGAGGAGTACAGTGTGTGCATGCAGATGGGTAAAGAGAGATAAAAAAAGGCAGAGGAAAGTAGCAATTCTGCAGCATGACAAGGGCAGCGTCACGCCACAGGCAGTTTCCCCCCAGTGGCCGAGGTCTCCTCTGCAAAGGCATCATCTGCTTCCAACTGTGGTAGCATCGAACTAAACGAGCCCAAAAGGTCATGTTAGCTTTACAGTTTCTGACTCGTCCGGTCTCGCCAAAGCACACTCGCTGGGAAAGACAACAACGCTCTCACATGTGCACACACAATTATCAGCACAACAGGGGGATGAACGATTATTACGGAGGATAAAGATAACAATCACACACAGACATATACAGTAAACACATACACACACATGCACACACAGATACTAACCTGATACCACACTGGGGATCTTAGAGAGGAAGCTTTTGACGGTCCGGATGGCTACACCTCCTGCTTTCTCATCTTGTATTCGTGTCACAATGTCTTCAATCTATAGTGAGGACAGAGGGAGGTCATCTTTAAAGTTCAATCCAGTCAATCAAGTGTTACGTGTTTCATTTTAATATATTTCATTCAAATAATTCATTACTGTTGTTTTAGAAAAACAACACCAGAAATGCTTATTTTTTCAATATGTAAATGTATCCCTATACTTTTCGGAAATTAAATGAGAAATATTCTGCTCATATTCAGGTTCTTAATTTTAATCTGGGTTACAATTGAAAATGTTCTTATGTTCAGAGTCTCATCACTTTCCTCAGACTGTCTTCTGCAGTTCCTCTTTTCAGAATTTGTCTGAAACACTTTTAGCTCCTGTCTCTTTAAGGCCCCCCTCCCGATAAAGCCCAGTCAGCTCTGATTGGCCAGCTGGTCCACTCTGGTGCGATTGGTCGACGGTTTCCACTTATGGAGGCAAAGTTTTCCTCCTCTGTTGTTTTATGTGTTTGGGAGCGTGTTGCACAGAATACCAACACAGTGTTTCAGGAGCTCCAGGACCGGTTAATTTAAGTTTGTACATCCTCAAAATATCTTTATAACACTCTAGAGGAAAGAAAAACTGAAAAAGCATCACATGCATCCTTTAAATTCCACAGTTTTCTGCAGCTTTAAAGGTTTGAAAACAAATGTAGTTTATTTACTGAAATACGATCACATTGTGTATGTTCATGATAACTCTGCTGCATTGTGGGGGATTTCTTGTATCGAGGACTTTGGTCAGAGGCTCCGGCCAAATGTGAAAGGCTGTCACTGCTCTTCCTGAGAGGCTGAGATAAAAAAAATCCCACCTCGGACGCTGCCAGAGCCCCAAACACATCACACATCAGCCGCATGAAACACCCTGTCACTCAAGGACATGGACACGCGTGTTTGAACACACACATGGACACACAGAAAAATCGTATATAGACTTGTAAAGAGTGGAACATAAAAATGTACTCAGGTCAAATATTGATGTGAGCAACCAGTGGTCTGATGCCTGGAAGAGACTCACTAGAAATCAATGGACATCAAAAAGACCCTGCTTCTGCACACCTAGCTGTATTATCAGCAGACAACCATATGCACTACAGTGGCTGCTAAGGTCTGGCTATTAAATTCTTTATGGCTCCCTAAGCATCTGTCTAGAAGTACACTCAGATGTTCGCACACACACACACACACACACACACACACACACACACACACACACACTCATATGCCCACACACACATCCTACTACAGTATACCAAAGCTGATTAAGTGAATTTCGAGGGTTCATCTCCAGGGCTTGGCAGAACACACTGATTTTAAAGGAGCTTCTTCTGTTTCCTCTCAGCTGAAGCATGTTCCCTCAGTCTCCCACCACAGTTACAGTCTACGTCACGTCACGATCGCAGGCACACAGCATCACGCTGCGCTCCAGTTCGTGCCGTTGCAGCACACTTCTGGACCCTCTCTCCCTCTCCTCTCTTTCCTCCACTGTTCATTTGTCATTTAATGCAGCAGATCTGTGAGTGAACTCTTTCCACTGTGGAAGGAAGACAGACTCTGAAACCCTGAATTAAGATGTGGAAGATTATGTTAATGTGTTTATAGTTTTTTTTTAAATCATAATCCTAATCTGTTATTCATGTGTCATCCAAAAACATGGGCATCAAGTTACATTCAGCTACTACTTTACTTTTATAGCTCTTAGATGAGAGGCTTATTTATTTTCAAGTTTTTCTTACTGTCAACAAAGCCAAAATTAGAATGACGCTCCATAGGAAGCATATCTCTGTCAACACGAATTCAATCAAACTGCACTAAACTGCATATGCTCATACGTTCAGTTCTCTAAATATTCCCATTTTATCATCTAGATCCATGAATTATTCTCTTGGAAATCAGTGAAAATGTCAAAAGAAAGAGCATCAATGTTAAAGAAAAAGAGAGAGACACATGTCTGGATCTGCCTCTTTGCCTGGTTCTACCACAAAATGTAATGGTTTCTTTTTCTTGAAAGATTTCCTATTCTTCTTTTACATAAACACCACACCCTCTCTGTGGTACTCAGCCCAAATGAGAAAATGTATATCTTTAAACACAGATCACGATACTTTTATTACTTTTATAAGATTTATATTCCTAAAATAGCTGCACACTGTAGTTTTTCGGGGTAAAAATGCTGTATTGTTACTATTTTCAGCCAAGGATTAAGACATCATGGGTGTGTAGTGAGTATTAATGGCAGCTGGGTGGTGTATGTGGTGTCAACATGAAAAATAATGGTTATCACCCTGTGAAGTGTTTTTACACCACAATGGAGCTGTGTGGCACAAAGTAATATGTCAGGTATTTTATCATTACATTAATTTATTGTTATAATTTAATGGGATGTTAAGTAATGTCACAAGTCATAATCTTCACCTAATCGTGTTACTTTTGATTTAATAAGCTCAGGAGCACTATATATAGACTCAGTATAATGATAGATGACATAAGGTGAAGCCAGAGTCTTTCTATCTCCTCGAGTTGGTTGGCCCCATTATAGGATAAAAGAAAATCTTGCCTCCTCCATGTGGGCAGATGGGACATGGATCAAACAAATAATAGTATAATGGTGTCTGTCACTCTCAGAAGTTCTTACCACACTGCTGTTTGTTCAAGTGCTCATGTGTCCACTAAGTTTGGTTTTAAAAACACCTTAACCCTAACCCCAAGATCTATCAATGTATGTAACGGCAGGTTCTCGATTACCATGGCTCCATCCTACTATCGCTAGTACTCAGACTCCAATTGATATCAATGGTGCTCGATATTGGCATTAGTATCCAAGCTATTTTAGTTTTAACAGTTAATCACACTGACCCTACTGACGACATACATCAGTCGAATCCGGCGTCAAGTCTTTAAAAGCCAATCTTACAACAATGTCTTGTGACAAGGTGTGTGTGTTTGTGAGTCTTTGTGTTTGTGAGTCTTTCTCAGCAGTTCTCTCGGTACCTCTCGCTGTGGGTTTTTACCTGTAAACTAATGTAATATTCATCCTCAGTCGTCCTTTGTTCCTGCAGGATTGTGTAGCTTTAAAGTCACAGTCACAAACAAAGCTACACACTCTTTTGGAGAAGTGGATAAAAAGAGAACAACAAGCAGAGTGTGCATCGAACTACAGCACATTTACTCAGCCAGCCACCATTACAATCAAATGCAATCATTCTACCTGGGAAAAGCATTAAGTGGATGATTCACACAAGCGGCCCATAAATCCACAACAAAGCAGCCAGATATATATGGATTTAATAACACACATAATGCAGAGCAGGGAGGAGACAGAGAGCAGTGCGTGGCAAGACAATTACCAATCTCGCACCATAAGCTTGAGAGAGTGTCTTGGCATGAATTATTGAACTTGCACCAGCTATGGAGAATTACTGCTTCAAGTCTGTTGATAAACCTCTCACAGGAGGGCAGGAGAGAGAGA